AAGCCCACTTCCCAGAGGAAGTTTCATAGAGCAAAAATCACAAGGTGGGTATGAAATCCTAAGGTGGATACAATGTAGGACAAAATTATGATCAACTAAAAAGATTACAAGTACAGTTGCTTAGGGGGAAGCAGGTCACATAGCCAGTGGACATGGAAAGAACAAAGAACTTTTTTAGGAAGAGATGAATCAGAAGGTCCTTAGTCATTCACTGGGGTGGCTGATGTCTATCTAGACTTTATTGGACCAAGTGATAGCATTTATCCCTTGGGGAAGCATGTAGGCCTGGCCATTCTATCTATATCTGGAGGCCTGGCCTTTAAGAGATGTGCCTCCAGCCACAGTTGTGTTGTGTTCTTGTCCTCTGCACTGACTCCCTCAAGGGCCTAAGCCTGTTTGACTGCCTATACTATTTCTATCTAACTTAGCTGTCTACAGTAATTGGGTCACCCAGCCAGTTTTAAAGAATCTGGGAACACAACTAGCTCTTGGGAAGCAAATGACTCTTATGCTGAATCACATGGGGATTATTTATAGTGAAAATAAACATTTCAGTCATGACAGAACAAGAAGTGCTGCTAGGAAGAGCTGATGTATTCTCTGCAAGGTTTTGTTTTATTACATGTGCAGTATTTCTACTGAGCAGTAGTCATAGGCATCTTCACTGAGGATGAGATTTTTCAGAGACAAGATTTGCATAAAAAGTCTACAAAGTGAGTAGGTAGCTTTTCTTTTCTCTCCTTCCTTATTTTTCCCTAGTGAAGGAATGTCTGTGAGAGTCTATGAATCAGGCAATATTTGGCAACAGAAAAAGTAGAAAGTCCTGAAAAGGAATCTAGTTTCATTAAAATAAGATTGAAGGCAAAGAAGAAAGAATGGGAGAGAAATAATACCCACTTTCATTCACTTCCCAGGTATTTCCTGGGTAGGAGCTAGGTTCTCGGGCTGATAGACAATGGTGAATAGGATCTGGGCCTGTCCTCCAACAGCTCATAGTCAACTTGGGATTGAAGGAGATCTGAGAAAGAACAGACTTAGGGAAAGGACTAAGTAGTGCAGATGAGGCAGGAAAAGGTTGTGTTGTTGTATTGTTTTTTGTTTCTGAATTCTGTTGCTTCACACCTCCCTGACTTCCTTTCATTACTGGACATTGGAAGTAGTGCGTGTCGCTCATAGTTGTGGACCCTGGAAGCCAAGCCTGCTGGATGGCTGAGAGCTGGGTGGCCTGTTCCCTGTTAGCAGCAATGAGAATATGCTGAGCAGTCGGCTACAGTTGACAGAACTCCACAGGTTGGCACTGTCCCACCAGCCATCTGGACACACAGCCTTTGTCTTTCAATGTGGCAGGAAAGCCTAGGTTTATCCTGGATTTTCATTTTGACCCACATGGTGTGGCTATGGACCACCCCATAGCCCTGGGCTTGGACTCCCTTTTCTATCTTTATTCCCTGTATTACCATCATCTGGTCCTATATACCATGCACCAAAGATTACTGAATTGATACCATCATCCAAGGACTCTCCTGTTAGATGCTTGATTTCTGCCCTTGGGAAGCAAATAAACATCTGAAATTTATGTTGCCAATTGAGCTCTTGATATAGACCACCCAACCTGCTCTTCCCACAGCCTCCTGCCTCTCCACAAATAGTAATTCAATTCCTCAAGGGGCTCAAGCTGAACATCTTGGAGCTACTCATGGTGTCTCACCTTATCACCACCCCGTGTCTGGTCTGCTCTTTAAGATCTCCCCCGAATTCCACCCCTCCTCACCAGCTCCACAGCTCCCGCTCTGGCCTGAGCCCCCCTTTCCCACATGGACTGTCACTCTGATGCCTCACCCTGCTCCTCTCCTTCCGTCACCCATTCTGGCTCTCCTCATTCAGTCTCCTCCACATGTCAGCCCATGCGCTGTCTCTGTAAAATCCTCCTGAACCGCCCATCTTACTGAGACAAAGCCCCAGTGGAGCAGTGTTGTGCCCACTTTGCTGTCCCCCTGCACTTTCTCACCTCCTGGACTCCACTCCTGACTCCCGCCCAGCCACACCTGCCTCCTGGTTGCTTCTTCATGTCAGCACACTGGTACCGCAGGGTCTCTGTGTGATTCCTCTGTCACCTCCACATTTTCAGGGTCATAAGTAGGTCCCTTCAGGAAAAAGGTGGCACAGTCAGAGTACTGTAACTTCAGGAGGATTTGCTGCAACAGGTAATGCTGTCACGCAGGGCCTGGGGCAGCTGCTTAGGAGTCATTAGGGCTTGTGCTTTTTCCTTACAGCATCAGCGCAAGGTCCATCAGGACAACTGTTCCTGTGGCCTTTCTCTTTCTCTTTCTCTTTCTTTCTTTCTTTTGTTCCTTATTTTCTTTCTCTCTTTCCTTCCTTTCTTCTTTTCTTTCTTTCCTTCTTTCTTTCCTTGTTTCTTCCCTTACATCCTTCCTTCTTGTTTGTTCTTTTTTTCTTCTTTTCTTTCTTTCTGAATTTTTGTTTGTTTGAGACAGGGTTTCACTGTGTAGTTTCTTGAACTCACTGTGTAGCCCATATAGCCCAGACTGGCCTGGAACTTTCAGCTATCCTCCTGCCTCAGACTCACAAGTACTGGGATTACATCCTGTGGTGTCTCTGAGAAAGGGGTTCACAGTGTCTCTAGGATGTTCTTCCAACTGCCAGCTCCCATTCTGCATGTTTTAAGGAACTTTATTGACCTTGATAGGTTTACAGACAACAGCTAGGACTTGTATCCCTTCTGACCAGTGTCCTTACATCATCTGTAGCCTAAAATGCTGAGGGTGGCATTGGTCCAGTCACAGAGCTGGAAATACCACAGTAGCTCCCTCTGTTATCTCCAGGTACCACATCCCAAGACATTCAGTGGATGCCCAACACCAAAGATGCTACCAAACCCTATATATGCCATGGATTTCCTGCAGTGTACCTACATACCTATGATAAAGTTTGATTGTAAACTAAGCAAGCAAGATATTTAAAACCATAATGAAACAGAACAATTATACAATAAGTTATTTAAAACATTAATTATTTATCTCTGGAATTTCCCCTTTCATGTCTTCAGACTTTGGTTGATCATAGGTCACTGAACTAAGAAAGGTACAACTTTGGCTAAAGGGATCACTTTGCTTATGTGCAGGCAGTGGTCACTGTCCTGGGCTTGTTGTCTGCTAGTGTACAAAATGGCTCACATTAGAGCTGATGAGGGAAGAGACAGGAAATCTGCGTGGGGGCCCGAGCTGATCTCCCAGGATGCATAGCCCAGCGGGGGGTAGGAGGCAGTGGGAAGGGTGTGTCTTAGTCACTTTCCTCATTGCTGGGGCACAATACAAAACACCCACAGCTTAAAGGAGGAGAGGTTTATTTTGGCTCACATTTTCGGTCCATGGTTGGCTGGCTCCAGGGCAGAAACAGCATGGAGGAAGGGCCTGAGAGAGGACAGGAGTGCATGTCATGGTTGCTGGGAAGCAGAGAGTAAAGGCAGGGCCAGGAAAGGAGATACACCCTTCCAGGTCAAGCCCCAGTGACCACCTCTTGTTCCCAGACCCACCGCCCAACAGCACACTCAGCCACTGAACTCACCACTGGTAAGCACAGGCCCACATGATCCAGTCACCCACCAAAGCCTTGCCTCTCAGTGCGTGAGAGTTCTGTAGAACATTCCAGGTCCAAGCCACAGTCGACAGGAACTCCGGACCAGACTGCCCTGAGGATTACTCCAGTCTCTCTTGTACCCAAACCATAGCCTTTTGCAAGCACCCATATTTTTCAATTTACCCAACAATTTATTCTTTCAATTTCTGCTTACCCTTAAATGGTAAGTGGCTTCTGAGTTTTAGTTTTAAATATTTCTGCTCCTGTGACTTGCTTAATTTTTTGACATGTAAAATATTTGATTTGGTGAGAAAACTCCAAATTTTGGAGAAGAAATTATATAGTCCTTTTGTAAAGGATCCTCATTTAGCAACATGCGCATTACCCTCTGAATCATCCATATTTGTAAGAGTTGAGATTTCCTTCCCGTTTTGGTCCTTGCATTCCTCAGACGTGCGAACAAGAGGAGAGTTCAACACCATATCGTGACCTGGCTCACAGAACTTCTAGCTTTTGATGAAATCCACGTGGCTGAACAGAAAATATTGGCTCTCAGTGAATTGTTTCATTGCTCCTCTTGGCTGAGTCAGAATTCGAAAAAGACAAGTGAAATTCAATACTTCCGCTGACTAACACATTTACTAGGTTAAAAACAGATTCAATTTTTTGAAGTCCTGCGGGTTCATTCTCTGTGCTGTCCAGTTGTCCCATCATTGCAGTACCTGATGAATCAGTGATGCTCGTTGGCCTGTGATTTATAACTCTATTCTAAGGCAAACAAACAAACAAACAAGCAGAAAACCCACAAACAAACCAGAAATTATGTTCAATAGTGAAAAACTGGCCGTTTCCTAGTAGAATATGCTAACTTCTAGATTGAATTTTAACTAATATTTCCTTGGTCAAAATGAATTGGTTGATCTGGTACTTATAGCCTCTGTGCTTCCATGGCACACAGCAATAAGCATTCGTTGCTACGGCACCTGGAGTCAGTGTGTGCTGGCTGGGCCTGGCCAGCATCGTCTAGATCAGTGTAGGCCAGCATCAGTCTAGGCTGCTTCTGTGCATGCCTTGCTTGTTCTCCCACAGTGCCACAGGGTAGCCCAGAAATGCTCTTTTCATGCTGAAAAGTGGAAACAAAAAGTAAGCAGAAACATGTATGATCTCTTGAGGCTTAGCCTCCTAACTGGCACATTATCAATTATGCCTCATTTTGGGCCAAAGAAAGTTTCATGCACAGGGAAATATATTCTTCCTCCACTGTAAAATGACAAGACATGTAATATAGGGAGCAGGTAAGACTGGGAGCAATTAATGCCATCATCTACCACAATTGCCTCCAAGAAACATGCTCTAAATTAAAATGAATAAAAATTTCCTTCTTTATAATTTATCTCTTGCAGAAAACCAGAACCCATGGCTTTCTCTGTGGTCTTTCAAACAGCACTCATGTTAGCATTGCTGTCCTGGAGAACTTGCCAGAGTGAAGGTAAGGAATGAAAGAGCAAAGAAAAAATCACAGAGAAAACGTGAAGTAATTTATGTTTCGGGGAAAAGTTGCACGATTCTTTTATTTCTTTGAGAATTACTTGAAGTTGGCAAATACCAACTTCCAATATGAAGAGATGTATGAATCTTTCAAAGTAATAGTTGCCTTGATCTTGATCTCCTTCCTTCTTATGGCAAATTTTAATAAATCACCCCTTAACCCTGACTTCCTGATCAGCGCTGCAGTCATCATTGTAGTTGTAAGTAAGTCAAACCCCACAGAACTTCTGGTTGATGTGTTTTACCAAGACCATTGCTGGAGAAATTCCTTCTATACCTTGCTGAGTACAGAGATGAAATGCACCAGACTAATTTTGGCTGCTAGGTCCCAACAAGTTGTGTTGTCTCTCAGCCACATTTATTGCGAAGCGGTTCACTTTGTTAAACATGGATGAAAGTAGCGAAACTTTGTGGACCAACAGAATCACTCAGGTCTCTCAAGGTAGTGCTGAAATGTTGTTTAAAGAATTAATGTTTTTCGCTTAGCCACCCTGCAAAAAAGTATATTTTGATATGAACTGACTTTGTAACTAAGGTCAGTAGAAGTCAAAATCTCTGATATGCTTGTGGATGCTTGATTGTGAGTAGATTCTTACACGAGATTTTCTATTGGTTTATAAATTTTCATTGCATTCATCTACTTTACAAAGTTTTACATTTTCTTTCTGTGTTTATTCTTTTCTGTACTTGCTTTGTAACGAAGAATGTTGATGCATGCATTGAGGAATTATCCGTTCAATTTCTGTTCATACGTTCAATAAAATGATGTTTGCAAGGAATATGTATAGAATTTCTCATTGTCTCATAAAGCTCCAGGAAAAGATATTTAGGAAATGAGGAAATTTGCTTCTGACAATAGCTCAGTTCTCTGACTAATGTTCTTTAGATCTGGATTTATTTATTTTCTACCTAGGTTACATGGAAGATACTACTTTTTATGGCTTCTTTTAAAAACCATAGTTTGTTGATTTCTTCCATACTCTAGAGTTGAAAGGTAGGAACTAGCATTTTGCATTAGTAGCATATACACCTCTCACTCAGTCTCTCTTGTCTGCTGAAATCTGAGCATGCTACAACTGATCTGAGTGGGAAGTAGGCACAATAAGAATATTCTGTGCTTGGCAGTGAAGGCAGCAGTGACTTCAGGGTTATTTCCGCCTCTTCGCCACTTCCCCTGCCACCTATCCTTTGACAGCAACCTTGCCTGGACTGGGACAGAAGCTGTAGTCCAGCCTTGCCTCAGTGAAGATACCATACAGAAGGAACAAAGATGGATTCTTATAGATGCTTTTTATAAAAGCTATCTGTGCAGTAGTCCTACAGTTTAATAATGAAAGACTTCACATAATGAGGTGAATGGGAGTATAGTGTTGTCAAACACAGATTTAGTAATCTCTGAATCAATATGTTTAGCTCTCTATTGCACACAATCTATTTGTGGAAAGTTCATGTTGAAAAATTGAAGCCAGTACTAGATAAGTATCATCAGATTTGTCTACCAAATTCCTAGCCTGAAAGGAGAATCACTTTTTGTCAACCTGATATGGCATTCAAAGTTGCATGACTCTCTTCAAGATGGACTTGAAGATCATACTAAAGTACAGAAAACCAGAAGCTTAGAGCCAAAGACCTGTATCAGAACAATGAGAGGACTATGAGAAGACTCCCGTCTGGAACTGCCCAGACCTACCTAAGATGCTGTAATGTTTCACATACTGAAAACCAGTCACCTCAGTGGCTCCCAGCTCATGACAGCAGGCCAGACTAGATTCTCTGAGTGACTCTTTCTCAGAAAAACCAGTGCCACTGAACTATAGCTAGCAATAATGTAATCATTGCTCCTCCATTGTAGAATCGGGAGGTCTGAAGCACCCCTCCTCAGGAAACTGGGCCGGTGCCCATCAAGCCAGTCATCAGAAGAGAACCCAGAAGAAGGCAGGGAAAAACCAAAGGAGGAGCAGCCCAGCCACTAGAGGAAAAGAATTTCTGAGGAAATGGATTTAGAGGAACACTGGAGCATCCAAAGGTGGAAACAGAAACTGCACACACCAGTGCAGAAAATCTTAAGCATCACAGGGAGAAAAAAAGCTGAGCTGTAGCCTTTAAGAAAGAGGCCCGTAAGTGTAGAAGAGAGAAAAAAGGAACAAAGCAAAGAAAGATGAAGGAATTCTTGGGAGCAGTCTATCCTTGGATTTTGAAGCTCTTAGTTGGTTCTCCTGAAGCTCAATTGAAAAAAATGGCTGAGGAGCTTGGTTTTATGATATCCGTGCTCATATCACTTATGTGAGTAAGCACTTGCATTTCTAACAAAGGCCAGATGAACATGAAATATTCAGTACGCTTTCCTCCCAACTTGGAAATTACTTTCCCTCATTTTCTAAAAGAATTATTACATTTTTCTTACATTTGATATTACTTCCCTTTGGGAGAGAGACTCTAGTTTATTCAGACCCCCATGATGCTGGAATTATTTTCCCGTGGGAGATAATATATTTTTAAATTGGAGGATTGATAGGCTTTGCAGAATCTGTTTCTTGATTGGGTTTGCGAAGCAATTGTGAAGCATTGAGGCAATGAAGACTTTCTAAGAAGCAATTTAGAAGCAATTAGACTCCCCTTACCACCACTCCTGTTGTAATGTCTGTTTTTTCTAGGTTGGAAAGTGGAAAATGAATACATTATAATAACTTATGCTGTACATAGTTTTAAAAGTTTCAGAGTCTTGATATAAAATCAGTTTATATTCCAGACATGTTTATAATAAAGTATTTTTTTATTAGTAAAAAGAAGAATGTCCAGCCCGGCCAAAGGACCTGATGCTGAGGCAAGCCCTCTGCGCAAACCAGGCTCTCCAGGAAATCCCAGAGTTCCCTGCAAGGTTTTGGCACAGCGCCTTTCCTAATGAAGGCTCACTGATCTGTGCCTTCCACGTGGCTGGGCCCGCTCTCACGCAGGCTGCTCTGCTCACCCTCTCAGCTTCTTCCCTCTTTTCCTATCAGTCAGTCTTTGCTGCTGCTTTCAGCTTTTCTGCTAAGCAACCTTCTTTAGTAAGCAATCCTGTCATCATCCTCACCTGGGGTGCAGCTCTTTGCATTTCCTTGTTTCAATTTCTGCTGCCTTTGACCCAGTACCTACTAAAACTTCACTCAAACTAGGTGGGTTACCACTCAGTGGAACAGCTCGGATTGGATCTAAGGTTCTGTTTCAGATAACCTCATCTAAACAGTGAGAAAGAGCCAAGAATCTCTTCACTTAACACTAGGTATCCTTTCCTATCAGCCAGAAACCACAGCTGCAGCAATTGGATGGCTTTTCCTTGTATGTGTGTGTGTGTGTGTGTGTGTGTGTGTGTGTGTGTGTGTGTGTAAAGATGTAAATATGTAGTTTTTAAAATAAAAAAGTTATATGATATCCTGTGGATATTTTAATTACTGAAACAATTGTATAACATAGGATGGATGTTTCCCTTTGATAGTAAATGTTCTAGAAATGACCTTGTGTTTAAATTCTGCGTGGAATACCATCTTGTGAATGGACCAAAGCTTATTTCCTCAGTGGTGGGCCTGTCAGAGTGCAGGGTGGGAAAAGTGGGGAAAGACTGTCTGATTAAGTCCATGTCTGCTTCTGGCGCCTGAGCTTCCTGGTCATGCTGCAGTGTGATGACAGAGAGCCAGTCTGGGAGCCCAGGAGCTCTGGAGCTGGTCTGGAGTGTGACGTTGGCAAAGTGACTTTTCTTCTTGTAAGCTCACCTCTCTCATCTGCAAAACAGTGGGACTGGACTTAATAGTTCTTTTCATTATTGCCTTTGCTCTCACTGCCTTCACCCTCGTATTTTACTGCTTTTAACCAAATTATTTCCAGGTGATGTTATTCAGCTACCTGAGTCACTCAGCACTTGCTGATAGCATGTGTTAGTTTAAGAGCTTCTTTTTTGTCAAATGCAACATATCCTAGCTTTCTAGACAGTCCATCAATGAAGTTGATATGGATAGTTGACTCATTCAGCAGCTAGTCACAGAATGCTATACTGCAACCAGTCTGTTATTAGTTTCTGAATTAATTCAGTGTTCTGAATTATGATAAAAGCAAAATAATCCAGATGTCTTAGAATATTGCTTTCTAAATATAACATATATGTGGATCTAAAACTAACGCATATTTCCGAAGAGTATTTATCAAATACAGAAAAGTATAAAGAAAAATTAAAAACCACCCAATTCTAACATCCAGAAATAATGACATAACATTTTTGTTTTACTTTTATAGATTTTAATAAATAACTTATGTATGTAAAATGACATAAAATGGGTCACATGGTTCCATATGTTTTGTTTTGTTTTGTTTTTTTTCTGATTTTTTTCTCTGGTACCGGGAACCGAACTCATGATCTTGCACTTGCCAGGCAGGCCCTTTCCCGCTGAGCTAAATCCCCAGCCCTGGTTCCATATGTTTTTAAAAATTTCTTTGTATTAATTTATTTTATGTTGCTAAAGCAAAATATCTAAAGCTGGGTACCTTTTTTAAAAAAGAGGACTATTTAGCTCATGAGTTGGAAGTTAAAAGCCTAGAATCAGGCAGTCCTATTGGTTCCCCCTCTTGGCAGATTTGGTATTATGGTGGAGGGTGTGTGTGTGTATGTGTGTGTGTGTGTGTGTGTGTATGCGTGTGTAAGAGAGATAGATGGGGAAAGGGAGAAAGAGAGGGAGGGAGAGAGAGAGAGAGAGAGAGAGAGAGAAACATCTTCGCATGTGCTGGTGGACTACTTCTGTATCATACCATATCTGGAGAAATGTCCACTCAAGTCTTATGTCCATTTTTAAACTGAATCCTTTGTTTGCCTGTTGCTGATTTGTAAATGTCCTTTATAGTCTGGCTGCCAGAAACTTATCAAATATATGGTTTGCAAATTTTTCTCCCATTCCGTAGGTTATCTTTTTACTTTCTTGAAAATGCTCTTTTGATGCACAGAAGTTTTTAATTTTCATGAAGTTCAAGTTATCTTCTGTTGTTCATGTTTTAGTGACATATTTAAGGATTCAGTGCCATATCCAAGGTCCTGGAGTCCACATTTAGCACGTTCACCCTCCCCAGCATGGCATTTGCAACATGTCACAAGGGGGATGGTAATGTTCTGTGCGGGTAGCTGTAGAAGGGTAATGTTTTTCATTTTATGAATGCTTTCATTAATCTCTTCCAAAGAATGAGTTACCACATTCTGAGGGTAATACATTAGCTGAATCTGAAGCCTGTGTAGACCAGTAACAGGAAGAACTTTGTGCTTATCTTATGTCCTCCACTTATGTGGCTCTGTCCCAATATCTGTATCCTGAGCTGGGCAGGACACTGTTGAAGCCATGCAGTATTTGTCTCAGACATTGAATTCCATGAGATATCTGATTGGATATTTGCTTCTGTCTTAATATTTGGGGGACAGTGCAACAAAGGGGAGCACAGGTTTGGTATTAGGGAGACCACTATTTATATCTTATACTGTAGGTCTTTGTGTACAGCTGTTTAACCTTACTGAGATTCCAATTTCCTTACCTATAAAAAATTACTGTTTTATAGTTTCACAGCGAGTAATGTATGAGACAGCATAAGTGAAGCAGCTACCACTGTGCCTGCCGAATAATTCATGCTCGGTATTGTTCTTGTTGCTTTCATTTCCCTATGAAAAGAACAGCTTATGTCTCCTGGCAGTGAGGACTTTTTTCAGTGTTGGAGATTGCTTTCATTTTGTTGTCAAAAAGAGACTTTCTCTGATCTTTCAAACTGAGTTCCAGAAGATTTCAAATTACTAGAGTAAATTTACATTGAGCTAAAAAAGTGAGTGCTCAGTAGATGGTATTTGTTATGTTATGGATCATCAGACACCACCTGATTTTATCAAGGCACTGTTTATGTTTTCAGAACCTTGGCACCATTTTCAGTTTACTTTAGATACCCTCAGTCAAACAATTGAAATTGTTGAACTGGTAGTACACAGTTCCTTTCAAATCTTTATGGTATTTCTTCTTCTGACGTGGAAAGTCATTATTTATTCTTCTCTAAAAATCAGCAATGGTTTACTAACCCCTCTTCTTCTCTCTAGTGGCTTATACCTGTGTGTATGGTCAGTGGCAGTGATGTCATGATAACTTGGACACAGTAAGCTGGGCAGTGCAGTGAGACACTCCTGTAGCCCGAATTTTGGAGGATGAGGTGGGAGGATCAGTTGAGCTCAGGAGCTCAAGAATGGCCTGGGTAACAGCAAGACCCCACCTCAGAATGAAGGAAGGGGGGAAGGAAGGAATGGAGGGAGGGAGAGAGAGAAGACTTGAAAGCTATTTCCCAAGGTTAAAGATGTACACAAGTCTATTCCCTCCTTTCTTCCTTCCTTCTTTCTGTCCCTCCTTCCTTTCTTCTTTTATTTTTTTTCTTTTGTTTTTTTGAGACAGGGTTTCACTATGTAGCCCAGGCTGGCCTTGAACTTGTGGCAATCCTCCTGCCTCATATTTGAATTCCTATTTTCCAGACTCCATCCTACACTACCTACTCTAAACTTGCAATCTCCAGTTATTCCATATGATTTTGTTGGGCCTTTCCAACTAGGTTCCTTTTTTGAGTCAGGGACTTTGTCGCAAGTATTTTTATTTTACATTAAGTGCCTAGTATATTGCTAATTCTACCCAGATTTCGGTAAATTATTGGTAGAGGTATTTCAAGTTCAGAAAACTTAAGGATAAGTGATCATGTCTAGAGAAAACATATGCCTCCCCCTACATACAGCTTTTTTAAAAATTATGAAGTACTATCTGTCAAAAAGAAAATGTTGCCAAGTGTGGTAGCACACTCTTGTTATCCCAGCTCCCTGGAAAGTTGAGGCAGGAGATTGTGATTTTGAGGCCAGTTTGGGTAATGTAGTGAGATCTTGTCTCAGAACAAACAAAAAGAAATTTCAAGACTAGAAATGCAACTCAGTATTAGAGTGCTTACCTTGTACACACAAGGCCCTGGATGTAGTTTTCAGTACCACAAAAAAGGGGAAATTTTTCATTTTTTTATTTCTAGAATATGATGTTTATGGCAAAATAGCCTCTTTATTTAGCCCTATTGTGAATTTTAAACTAATTAGATTTTCCCCTAAAAATCTATTGTTTTGTTTAACTGCTTACCAGTTTATTAACTTGCTCTGTATTGTTAAGCAAATTATTTCATTAATGAAGCTATTGATTTCTTCCTCCACAAAATAATACCTAAATTCCTTTCTAGCTTTGCAAGTTATGTTTCTAGGGTGCACATATGAGCAATATTTCCAAAGTTAAACAGTAATGACACTGAACAGTTTAATTTTCTGTGACTATTCACAGAATCCTGTTAAATGTTACTTCACTCCTCTTTTTTGGTCTTTCAGTCTTGGCTGAGTACTCACCATTGACTCCTGAAGGACTTAACATTTCCGTCAGTTCTGCACTTCAGCATTTGCATTTCCAGTGGACTGTCCACAAGCTTCCTTACCAGGAATTACAAATGGTGTTTCCAATAGAGATCAGTAGAGTTGAGACCTCCAAGGTCATCTGGATGGTAAGAATTTATTTATTTTTCTTGGCTTGGTATTTTAAAAAACATTTCCTGATGCTGTGACTTGTGTTTTATAACATCCAGGAAATCCCATCATGCAAACATATTAGCACCTCAAAACACTTTTCCTAAACAATTTTCTGTTTCTGTTTTTTTTTTTTTTGCTTTGCAGAATATCTAGGACAAAGTACTGTAGCCACTTTGGTATGATGGGATGTGCAAGAAAACATATTATTTTCCTACTTCTTCTCTGTCCCCTAAAAGGGTTTGTGAGTACTAGATTCCTGAGATTCATGAAGATCAGCTATCTCATTCCTCTTCCTGATTTCTTCTCTGTCCACCATAAATTTTTCTAAATATGATATAATAATTTGGCAACATTTTTCTTGCCAGCAAGGCTTGCTGTGTCATTGCTTTCACTGTGCTTCGGGGCAGGCAGAGTAGGTCTCTGTGCTTTATGTTCCAACCAGCGGAGGCTCTCCATGGCTCTGTTGGAAAGTCACTGGGGCTCCTTTGTTTCCATACACCTCCGTTTTCTACCTAAATTAAATTAATAAAATATTTTTTATTTTTTTATTTTAAGAAATAAAGGAAGGGAAACATATTAATAAACACATCCATTTACAAAATAGCATAAGAACAATACAAACAAAACAGAGTTACAGACAAAGTTATAAGAAATTAACAATGGTTGTTGTATTACTTATTGATATCTTCAAAGTAGTTTCTCAGGAAAACAAATACAGACATACAAGATTGATCAAATAAGTAATCATTAACTGTTCCTTTCTGTAGAGCAATAGAAGACAGTAGTACAACTGTGTTAGCTATCCTGTATATACATAACTACATAATTTCCCCTTCGTTCCCTTCTCTTATCCCACATCCCAGTTACCCTTTACTTTTGAGCATTTTCCTCTCATTTCACAGTGTCTATCATACCTCCTAGTTTTTATTCACTCTTTTAGGTTTTACACTAGTGAAACAATATGATTCTTACACATGCAGGTCTGATTTATTTCACTTATGAGTATGGTCTGTACTTGTGACCATTTACCTATAAAAGCCTCGAGTTTATCTTTCTTTATAGCTGAGTAATATTCATTATATAAAAGTACCACAATCTTTTTATCCAGTCCTTGGTGGATGGACATTTGGGTTGCTTCCACAGTTTAGCAATTACAAATTGTGCTGCTATGAACATAGGTGCACATATATCGCTGTGATATGATGTTTTCAGATCTTCTGGGAAAATACCCAGCAGGGGGATAGCTGGGTTGAATGGGACCTCTAGACCTAGTTTGCTGAGGCATCTCCAAACTGATTTCCACAGTGGTTTCACCAGTCTGCATTCCCACCAGCAGTGCAGAGGAGTTCCTATTTCTCCACAGCCCTGCGAGCATTTCTTATTGGTTGATTTCTTAATGCTAGCCATTCTTACTGGGGTGAGATGAAATCTCAATGCTGTTTTAATTTGCATTTCTCAAATGACTAATGATGTTGAACATTTTCTCATGTATTTATATGCCATTTATATGTATTTCATGATCTGAGAAGTGTGTATTCATCTCAGCTGCCCATTTTTGGATTGGGTCTTTGAATTTGGGGGGGCTGATATTTTTTAATTCTTTATATGTTCTAGATAGAAGCCCTTTGTCTGAGGGACAGTCAGTTAAAATTTTTTCCAAGTTTGTGGGTTTTCTTTTTACTCTGCTGGTGATTTCTTCAGATGTGCAGAAACTTTTCAGTAGGATGAGATCCCAGTTGTTGATTCTTTGAAGTATTTCACGTGCAGTTTGGCTTTTGTTCATGAAGTCTCTGCCCACCCCTATGTCTTCAAGGTTTTTACCTACTTTCTCTTCCAATAGATTTAGTGTTTCTGGTTTAATATTGAGATCTGTGAACCATTTTGACTTGAGTTTGGTGCCTGGTGATAGACTCGGGTCTGTTTTCAGTCTTTGGTAGGTGGCAAGCCAATTTTTCCAGCACCATTTATGAAAGAGGCTATCATTCTTCCAGTGAGTTTGTTTGGGCCCTTTATCAAGGATTAGGTGGGTGAGTGTGTTTTTGGTTGTGGCTGTTTCTTCCAGTCTGTTCCATTGATCCTCAGGTCTGTTTTTTAGCCAGTACCAGGTTGATTTTATTGCAGTAGCTTTGTAGTATAATTTCAGGTCAGGGATTATGATGCCACCTGACTTATCCTTATTGCCCAGGATTACTTTTGCTATTCTGGGTCTCTTCTGGATCCAGATGAATTTAAGGAATGTTTTCTGTACATCTGTGAGGTATGCTAATGGTAGTTTAATGGGAATTGCATTGAGTCTGTACAACAATTTTGGTAGTATGGTCATTTTCACAGTGTTGGTTCTTCCTATCCATGAGCAAGGAATAATTTTCCATTTACTGAAATCCTCTTCCATCCTTTTTTCATAGTACTGTAGCTTTCATTGAATAGATCTTTTACTTCTTTTGTTAGATTGATTCCTAAATATTTCAATTTCTTGGATGTTATTGTGAAAGGTATGGTTTCCTTAATTTCTCTCTCAGTCTGTTTGTTGTTTGTGCATAGAAATGCTATTGATTTTTGGGTGTTGATTTGTATCCAGCTACACTGCTGAATTTATTGATTAATTCAAGGAGTCTTCTTGTCGTTTTTGGTGTCTTCCATGTAAAGTGTCATGTCGTCTGCAAATAGTGATAGTTTTACTTCTTCCTTTCCTGTCCTTACTCCTTTTATTTCTCTCTCTTATCTAAATGCTCTGGCTAATGGTTCCAGAACTATGTTGAACAGGAGTGGTGACAGCAGACATCCTTGTCTTATTCCCAATTTTAAAGTAAAAGCTTTCAGTTTTTGTCCATTTAGTATGATGTTGGCTGTTGGTTTGTCATAGATGGCTTTGATCAGGTTGAGGTAAAGACCATCTATTCCTATTTTCTGTAGAGTTTTTATCATGAATGCATGTTGGACTTTGTCAAAAACTTTTTCTGCATTTACTGAGATGAGCATGTGGTTTTTATCTTTGTCTCCGTTGATATGGTGTATAACATTTATTGATTTGCAAATATTGAACCATCTCTGCATTCCTGGAATGAATCTGACTTGGTCATGGTGTATGATTTTCTTGATGATTCACTCTATTCTCTTTGGTAGTACTTTATTGAGTATCTTTGCATCTATATCCATTAGGGACATTGGTTTGTAGTTCTCTTTCTTGGTTGGGTCCTTCCCTGGTTTTGGTGTCAGTATAATACTTGCCTCCAGAAATGAGTTAGGGAGAATTGCTTCCTTTTCAATTTCATTGAAGAGCTTGAGGACTGTTGTTATTAAATCTTCTCTGAATTTCTTGTAAAACTGTTGTGTGAATCCATCAGGGCCTGGGCTTTTCTCTGTCGCTAAGTTTTTAATCACATTTTCAATCTCATTAATTGATATGGGGTTGTTCAGAATTTTTATATCTTCTTGACTCAACCTTGGTAATTCGTACATATCTAGGAATCTGTCCCTTTCTTCCAAGTTTTCTATCCTATGGGAATAAAGATTTTCAAATTAGGTATTAATGATCTTCTGAATTTCTGTAGAATCTGTGGCAATTTCATCCTTTTCATTCCTTATTGCATGAATTTAGTTCTTTCCTTTCTTTTCTTCATAAGGTTGGCTAGAGTTTATCAAATTTATGTATTCTTTCAAAGAACCAACTCTTTGATTCATTTATTTTTTGTAGGGTTTTCTTTGTCTCAATTGCATTAATTTCTGCCAGGATCTTTATAATCTCCTCCCTTCTTTTGGCTTTGGGCTTGACTTGTTCTTCTTTTTCTAAAAGTTTGAGATGCAGCATTAGGCTATTTATTTGTTCTCTTTCTGTTTTTCCTTACATGTGAGTTAACCACTATAGATTTCCCTCTGAGGACTGCTTTCATTGCTTCCCACAGATTCTAGTAAGTTGTATTTACATTTTCATTTGTTTGTAGGTATTTTTAAATTTCTTCTGTGACCCAGTGGTTGTGCAGGAAGTTGTTGTTTAATTTCCAACTGTTTATGGAATTTTGGAGTTCTTTTTGTCATTAGTTTCCAATTTCATTGCACTGTGGTCAGATAATATGCATAGGATAATTTCAATTCTTTTGCATTTAGGTAGGTATGCTCTATGGGCTAGAATGTGGTCTATTTTAGAGAAAGTCGCATGTATAGCTGAGAAAAATGTGTTGTGGGGTGGAACACTCTGTATACATCTACTAAGTCCATTTGTTCACAGATTTGGTTCAGATCTGTTATTTTCTTGCTGATTTTTTGTCCAGTTGACATATCTCTTTGTGTCAAAGGGGTGTTGAGGCCCCCTGTTACAATAGTGTTATTAATTATATGAGATTTCATGTCTGTTAAGATTTGTCATATATAGTTTAGTGCTCTGATATTTGGTGCATACATGTTTATGATTGTTATCTCATTCTCTTGCAGTTTTCCCCTAACAAGTATATAGTGACCTTCTTTATGTCTTTTGATTGTTGTCAGTTTGAAGTTTACATTATCTGCAAACAGAATAGCTACACCTGCTTTTTTCTGAGTTCCTGTTGCATGGAGGATTGTTTTCCATTCTTTGACTTTCATTCTATGGATTTCCTTTTGAGTAAAATGTGTTTCCTGTATACAACATATTGTTGGATTTTGTTTCTTAATCCACTCTGCCAGTCTGTTTCTTTTGAGTAGTGAATTGAGGCCATTTGCAATTACGGGTATAACCAATATGTGTTGACTTATCATTGTCATGTTATTTACTTGCTGTTGGTTTCCTACTTTTTCTACCTGTTTAATTGCTTGCTCTTCTTGACAGTTCCTTTGTATTGTTTTTCTTGAAATTGTGGTCATGTTTTTCTCTGTCTAGAATATCTTTTAGTACTGTTTGCAATAATGGTTTGGCACTCACGAAGTTCTTCAATTGTTCTTTGTTGTGGAAATATTTTATTTCTCCATTGAATTTGAAGGAAAGTTTGGCAGGGTACATCAG